AAGAGAAAGGCATGAAAGATGAAGAGAAAAGCATGAAAGTGAAACAATGTATAAGGGTGAGAGAAGAGGGACAGAGAGAGAGAGAGAGAGAGAAAAGATAAAGTAAAGTATAAAGGTGGGAGAAGAGAGGATGGGTTCAGGGAGATAAAGAGAAAAATAAAATATATAGAGTGTATAGAGATGAGATAAGAGAGAAGCATGAACGATAAGGTGAAACAATGTATAAGGGTGAGAGAAGAGGGACAGAGAGGGAAAGAGAGAGACTATGAGAGAGAGAGATACAAAAGATAAAGTATAAAGGTGGGAGCAGAGAGGACGGGTTTAGGAAGATCAAAAGAAAGATGAAATATAAAGAGAAAGAGTGTATAGAGATGAGATAAGAGAACAGCATGAAGGATCAGGTGAAACAATGTATACGGGTGAGAGAAGAGGCTGTGGGTTCAGTCAGGAAGAGAGAGAGAGATAGAGAGAGAGGGATACAAAAGAGAAAGGATGAGGATAGGGAATGAGGATAAGTGGAAAGGGTGAGGGGTTGGAGAGAAAGGTGGAAAAGTAAAGGTCAAACAGTTAAGGCAGCTTTAGGATGAAGGAAGGAAGGGTGTTGGGAAGGGAAATGGAGAAACAAATTGCAACATAATTTATAATTTACTAATAATTTGCTAAATGAGTTGAGAATCTTCACTCAACAGATTGTAGCTGTGTTCACTTTGAATACCCAACCATGTGCAGGGGAAATAAATAAAGAGGAATTTGTTGATCACTGATTGGATAAATCTTCACTCAATTTACTAAGCGAAGACTCTCAACAACTTTTGCATATTAGTCAAAATATACAATATGGCGACAGAGAATAATTGTATTGAAATTACTGTAATTTTTTTTTTTTGCTGTGGGAACAACATAATATATATATTCAGTCCAGTGGAAGAGTCACTCACGGTCTTGAAACAAGGCAACTTTATATATATATATATATATGTCGTTCCAGGGGCAGTATGGTGTAGGAAGAGGAGCGCAGTGAGCACTATTCACTAGGAAACGGGAATTTTGGACAATGATTGGCTCAGGTGGGATTTTCACAACAATTGACAAATGACACATAACATGGAGAACGGGGGGGGGGGGAGGTTTTGGGTTTTCTCGGGT